CAGAGCTATTGCCTTGTTCAGCAAAGTCTGCTGAACATTTCTGCTATAAGTTCATGCTCACTGAAATGACCATGAGCTTATATTAGAGGAGGAATGTAGGTCAATACAGAGTATGGACCTGGCCTGCTAGAAGCAGTGCTGTAGGTCCATACACCATACAGACCTGGCAGGGAAAGGGTTAAAACATTCATTGTCCAGGTGCATTCCCATGAAAGAACATAAGATAAGATGTACTTCTAGGCATATAGCCAACACTGACCTTGAAAGTTAAGCTAGTAGACATTGAATCCTATTGTTGAAGGCAATAGATGTGATTTATTCTTATCTCATAGCTCTACAGTACTGTAAGTCGTTGTAGGTTTTTCAGTAGATGAGAGACCATTCTTGCAAAGTCTGATTCTCTCCCCGTGCACAGTATGGGAATATATATATATATATTTATTTATAGTATACACAGATCGCTTCTAACTTTATCAGATGTTATAGCTAGGGGTCCTTACACTAATTTGTGGCATTCTTCACATTACTTGTTACACTTCAGAATGGATAAACCACCAATGCAATATATAACCTTCATCCAGTATGCCATATTTACGCATAATCTTCATCCAGTATGTCCAATTTATGTATAACCTTCATCCAGTATATCAGATGTGCTACTCCTCTCTTGCATTTCTACATTTTGTACTGCCTGGTACTTTGCCTTGCGTGAATTAATACCTGAATAAAGTCAGTAAGTTTTGCCCATGGTGATACTTGGATAGGATAAGGAGCTAACCAATCTCACCAGCTATGCAATTGTGGGATGATGTTTAGGTACAGGTTATTCAGAAGAGATAGATAAAGCGACTCTCCGCCTTACACAACAAAACATCTGAGGCACTCCACAGAAGTCAATTCTCATTTATTTTTTATTACAAAGAGATTTTGTTTTTTTTCCACAAGTTAAAAAGGAATTCTGTATAAAACTTGGCACTTGTGAACTGGTAGCACGGAGGGAGACATCGGGTACATAGCAGAGCCCCCGTCGTGCCCAATATCCACCCTGTATACAATAATCCTCACAAACAACCCTTCCCCCCACCCCAACCCCAAAATAGGCTTTTTAAATACATAAAGAATTAAGCAAGAATGCTGGTTTTCTGGATTACAATAAATAAGGGTGTGTAATACACAGAGAAGAGACATCGTCCATGACAGTCAATATGGTACGGAGGATAAAGCCAATATATTGTAAAAATTCAATGTTCTTGTGTTAGCGTGACCATACTGTCACCACCGGAGCATTGTAGGAAGGGCGACATGCTGGGGACCAACCCATCCTGATAAGATGAGATTCAGGGATCATAATGATGGATGCTCTGAAACTTTGGTGGGAGAACTGTGACAATAAGAGGTCATCGGTACCACAAGGTGCTCTGTGTGAATAAGACAGACAGGGAGTTACAGAAATTTCTCCAGTGGGAAATAATACTGACATTACTAATAATGTTAGTCAACATTACACCCTCTGTTTGGAAAATACTGACACTGGAAGTTCTTTCTCTTCAAAAGATAATACTGACATCGTTAAGAGCAATCAGCAGCGTCTTCGTACAAAGTGCCTGCAAGGACGATCTTCTACGCTACGGATAACATTAAGGAGTGGCTTCGGCTACAAGTGCATTGTGAGATTGACAGCTGTGTCTTCTAATGCTGGTTGACAGAGATGCCACTAAAAGTGCTTTGTGGAGGATATTTTACACCTTGAATGTGAACGGTTTCATAACGACATCACAGTGCTTTGTGGCTGTTATACATCTTCTATTGCTAACTGGCAAGGAAAAACTTTTACAGGTAAATGTTCGAGGGGGAAAAAGAAGTGCGGTATGGCAGGGCTACCTTTTAAGTGATGACCCTACATATGCATTATGGGGATGGTACTGGAGTCCTGTACATAGAGCCTGTGATATGAGGGAAGGTTCCCTCAACGTCACCTTGTGAGAAAAATGGAATGAGTATTTGCAGCTGAAGTTCATCTGGAGATGAGAAGAGTGCAAGGGTTAGGCTTGGGAAAAAGGTAAGCTTTGGGATTGGAGACAGACATGTTTGGTTTAGGGTGTTTATTGGGGTATGGATCAGAAATCGGCTTAGCTTAGGAACAAGAATAAATGTTAGGATAGAAGCAAAGGTAACTATCAGAATTGTACTTAGGGTAAACGTTTGAACTGGAATGAGGTGTATGGAAAGTTCTTAAGGAAATTGTTGAGCTGGGGTTACAGCCGGAGCTGGGATGGGTAAGTTTTAGCATGGCAGCAAGGATAGGTTTAACAGTTGGAGATATGGGAAACACTAGGACTAAGTATAGGTTTAGGATAAAGGTACCTGTTTGCATAAGTGTTAGGATAGTAACTACGGTTGGAGTTGGAGTTTAGATATATTCAATAAGGAGAAGAGATATAAATATCAATGCACAAAAACAAACATGGAGCTTCAGAGGAGACACGAAGGACAGACACATAACGCATGTGACTTCTTGGGGAAGTGTTGCCCCAATTACTACACACAAAATCATCACACTCCAAACCAGGAGATAAGTACCGTATAAGATAAAATAGAGGAGGTATACCTCCCCCTATCTTCCCCCTTACAGAACACTACAGGAAAAGAGTAGAGCAGTATAGGGGTATGTCTACCTCCCCATGACCATAAGGAACCCCTGTACCATATGGAATAATTCTACAGAAATACAGACATGACCACACATCACACATATCACAAAATCTCATGGGGGACTTATTGCTGAATGTGAGGGACCATCTTTACCTGCCTCACTGAATTTAGGAGGTATAGAGGTTCTGGGACAAGATCTTTGGCCCTTTGATATATTCATTTTAGTGTTATTCCCTTTTTCAAAGGAGAACTAAAGTTAATAATACAGTACATTAAACACTGCTGTTCAGCTTATCAGTGAGTTGGAGCTGCCAGGAAAGTTTTGTAAAAAGTTCTGAATTCAGCTAGTAGAGCAAAGCTATTTCCATGACACCAGAACAATAAAGTCTAATAACAGTTGTCAGCTTGAAGCTCTGTAGGTAGCCGGAAGTGGTAACAAATATAAATATGAAATATTTCTATTATATGTTAATTCTATGATAATGTTCAAAAAAATTGACATTGGGTGTGATATGGCTGGAACCGCCAGGATAACTGAGTAGAGTAGGATATTGCAACTCAGCTATTGCCTGAGACAAACAGAAGATAGAGAACCATTGGAGAGTGGACAATAAAATTATAATTGACACACAGTAGACAATAGTCAATTTTATGGAAACTCAAGTTCCCGGTATAAAACAGCTTTGTACATCTAGTATAGCCAAGTGTTGGTTACATCAAAATCAGAGCACTTGGCTGACTGGGCCTTATTTAAGAGGCACTATCTGGTGATCGGCTGTAATGGGTTGTACCACGTTAGATAGTAGCCATAAAGGGAACGTAGGTATTGCCTTTATTTTCTTTTCCCTGCTATGATCATCTTGTATGGACATGGATTGTTTTATTTTAGAGAAACGTTCATGTCCTGCTCCATTTATAACCAACTAATATGCATTAGTTTAGGTTGCTTCAGTTCTCCTTTAAAAAAAAATTGGGGGCCTCATTCTTGAATACATTATGGTCACAGGTTAAATCAAACATTTTCTATATTTTCACATATTCCATGGCAAACTACATGACTGGATCATGTATTATGGGGCAGTCTTGCAGACCGAATCACGAGGTCTATGGTTAACATCCAATATTCCATGTCAATATACCTACTACGTACAAAACTAGATTGTGGCCTTAATGATTACCTTTCTGACAAGGTCACCTCTTCTTTACTTTCCTTTCTAAAAAATCCAAATGTTCTGTGATTAACTTCCTACATAGACCACCTGTTCCTAATTATCTTACAACCAGGTCAAGTGTTCCATGATTAGCTGACTTGGTCACATGTTCCTAACTAAGTCATCAATGTGTTGGCTACTGTCTATTATATACTTTTTATGTTGTATGCCTCATGGCAGACTGAAGGTATTACAGATAGCTATCATGCACTGTAGTATAAATTGAATTTGTGCCAATTTTAGTTACATATTTCCCTTTTAGGGTCAGTTTTGTAATATGACACGTTTTATATAGGGAGGGTTCAGAACCTTTGTAACCCTCCATAACATGCTTTAATAACTGTATATAATTTTCTTCTAACATATAATTGACTATACCAACAATTGACCCAATAAAGACAACCTGCCTTCTCTCTCATCTAAACTTTCTTTCCATAAACATCATGCATATCATGATAACATGATGCCTGCTACATGGGGATGTTGTTAAATCGTCAGTCTTTATCAGCAGACATTCGTGAATCCGTTTGTTGGTTTGGTCACATGGGTCCTGCAGAAGAGCCCAGTCACATGATCCTGACATGGAAAGCTGCCTAGGAACATGATCCTGTACAGGAGCATGGTCTGGGGCACGTGATTCCCAAAAAGGGGCTTAGAAGTAGGCCTTAACCCTTTAGAGATTTCAGAAAGCTGGTGTGCAGGTCCTGCCTGGTATATAGGAAATGCTGTGGAAAAAAGTAGCTGCCGTACTGTGGGCAGGACTGCATGTAGATCACTTATTCAACTGAAAAATACATTAAAAGGAGCATTGTTCCCAAAATTGTCCATTTCTAATTGTCTCACTGGACTCTGCACCAATCATATAAGGCTACCTACCCCTGGTCAACAGAGGGGCAATTAAAGGAAGTCTCATAGAAGAAATACCCATTATTTCAGCCTCAGAAAACAGCTCTGGTCAGGGGGGGGGGTGGTTTACCCAAACCCTCCTGAAAAATTGTCTTTTTTGGCTTCACAGCGGGTGTAGTTTATGGTTCTTAATGTTATTGCCTCTTAGAGACTTTCTTGCCATTTTCTGACAGGTTCATTCCAATTACTTTTCCTATGCGTGTCTTCATCCTCTATGTTCACCTGCGTCTATTAGATTCTTAGTTCTCCATCACCAGCAGGGTCAAGGTTGTGCTCTGTGCTAAGGACAGATGCCGAGGGGCCCTGGGAGATGCCAAATGGGGACACAACAGGAGAACGAGCTGCCAATGGAGACAGAGATGGGGAAAAGCTTGGCGGTATAGCTGAAGATAGAGAAGCTTCATTAATTATAGGAGAACGTCGAAGAGATGAGAAATTAGGGAAGGTTCTGGCCACAGCTGGTTTAGGAGGCACGGTCTTTGCACCTGGATGAGCCACAGATGTGATAAGGGGAGGAGGGTCAATGCGAGGTTGAGGAATGGCTTTGGGCTTTGGTTGAAAAGGTCTTCTCAGTGCCGACTCATCCTTTAGTCGAGCAATCTCCATGAAAACACTGGCCAGAGGCTGAAATTGTGGACACCAGTTAAGCAAGTAATCCCAGTTGTAGCTGCCACGCAATTCCTCATCACTAGCCACAATGGCTGTCAGAGAGCCTTCCACAGATGGCTTGCCATCTTCAGGGAAAGTGTAGTCCTTGTGGTGAGGCATGTTAAGTCCACATCCCACTCCCATGAAAGCACCTCCTCCCCCACCATCGTCACGATACTGACTGGAAGACTTTTTGTTCTTGAACCACTGTCCGCTGTCCATAGAGGGGTCACAGGAAATATCAGACAGTTGATCAGCATCTTGTTGGATGCCAGAATCTGGACCTCTTGCAGATATGTGTTCTTGCATAGAAGATGTAATGCTTGCCACACGTGGATACTCATTGATCATACGAATTTCATCATCTTCAGCAGCTTCAGCAGATCCACGTCCACTGGAATGTGAGGGGTCCAGAGACCCTCCTCTAGTGTAAGATCCATCTACAGTGGAAGAATCAATGGGGTAGCCTGGGAGAGTCTGGTGATAAATTCGATCTCCACTGCCAAGTGCTGATTTATCGTGTCCCATTCTTTGTAAAGTTCCGCCTTGTAAACTGTCCATTTGTGCATCACCTTCTTGGCCTTTCTTTTGAATTCCCCGAGACCTGCAGACCACTAGTATAATGGCAACTGCAGCCAGCACCACAACCACTGCCAATGAGGAAGCCACTGACACAATAAGGAGCAAATTCAGGTCAGGAGCCAAACCAAAAGATGTATGTGTAATGTCTACTGTAACCTGTGCTATGGCAACTCGAGAGGACGGCAAGGGACTGTGGGCATGAACATCCATTGTCATTTCCCTTGTCTCTCTCTTAGAACGTCCAGAACGATGCCTTTGACTGTCTACCTTCAAATAAATTTGCCCAGTGGTTTCATTGACTCCAAAGTATGGTGATGGTTTAGAAAAGGAGTAGAGAACTACCCCATCTGCCCCTTCATCTTCATCTGTAGCCTGGATGCGCCCAATAGTTTGACCTTTGGCAGCTCCTTCTGGCACCTCAAAATTGTAATATTGGGCTACAAATACAGGGTCATACTCATCCTCCCCAGTCACAAGTACTTGTACAGTGACTGTAGCAGAAAAATTACCAGCATCTGTTGCTTTTATTATCATGCTGAAGGCTTTACTGCGCTCATAGTCAAAAAACTCTGCCGAGAAAGTAGTTCCCCTGAGGTTCTGTTCACAGAGAATACGTCTTTTCCAGTCAGCATTCCAGGTTCTGCTGGTGGAAGTTCAATCACAGTGTACAGTAGATGGCCAAATATTCCTGTATCGAGGTCTATGGCATGAATGATTGTGAGCAGAGTGTTTGCTGGTTGGTTTTCTCTAATGCTGGTTGTCAGTATCTGTACTGGGAAGTAAGGTTTGTTATCATTGATATCGCGGACCTCCACAGTAACAGGAACAAGAGCAAAGTTGGCTGGTCCATTTTGGCCATCAAAAGCCAAGATTACAAGGGTGTGCATAGCCTGCCTTTCTCTGTCCAGTTGGCGGACTAGCCTTATTGCTCCAGTTGCCTCATTGATCTGGAAAAGGCGGCTCTCATCTCCGGATGTGATTCTATAATGCACCATACCATTGTCACCAGAATCTGAGTCCTGTGCCAAGACCCGAAGAACTTCAGAGCCGACAGGAGCAGCCTCACTGAGGAGAACACTATAATCCGGCCGTGGAAACACAGGAGGGTTGTCATTGACATCCAATATGGTGATTAGCACAGGAACAGAATGGCTACGTTGTGGGACACCTCGGTCAGATGCCCCCAAAGTCAAGTTATAGAAGTTAGTGGTCTCAAAATCTAAAGCATCAGTTAGGATGATTGAGCCAATGTGCTGAAAATGTCCATTCCACAAGCGCATTCCACTTTGCACCTGGAAAACGTTGCCAACATTTCCGCTCAAGATGGTGTAATCCAGTCCAGAATTTTCCAGACTCTGGTCAGCATCAGTGGCCTCTAGGATGAGGATCGTACTGCCCAGTGGAAGATCCTCAGGCACAGATGTGGTGTACTGCTGCTGTGGGAAGACTGGAGCATGGTCATTCACGTCCATCAAAATTATCTGCACAGTAACAACAGAAGCCAGACTTGGAGAGCCATTATCTCGAGCTTCAACTATGACATCCACTAGTGGCCCCTGTGTTTCCAGCTCCATGGCCTGAGTTGTGAAAAGCGTACCTGAAAGAAGGAAAAACATGTGGTTATCCATCAAGAAAACTGGTGGCCATAATGCAGCATTTTGTTGATTCAGTCTATTCTGTATGAATGAAAAACAATCGAACCGGGAGAGAGAATACCCTGATAACAATCCATTTTTCCCTTTCGACAAATTTAAAGTGGAAATTTAAGCAATATTGTCCTGATAGATCACTGGCAGCTTTTGCAGTATTTTCAATATGAAACCAAAATTAAGAACACAGGAACATGACCTCAAACTAACTGGAGGAAATTTCAAAACTAATCTCACATGTATTTAAGAATAATAAGCATTTTGTTTAAAATCATCCACGATCCCTTACTGCCAGCGTGTCTGCCGTTCAGCTGATGTGCCTGTCTTCCTTGGGTGCCGGGTGACGTCAAGGCTCCTCCCCTAATACATGTGAGTGTATATGGGCACACAATAAAGGTTTTTTATGTAAGGATAAGGCACTATGTTTATGTCTTCGTTATACTGAGGAATATTCTTGGGAGGAGATTAAGCGAGGAATTCCTGCGGTGGTGTGAATAAGAGAGGAGAGTCACGTTCCTGCAGCAATTGGGAGATACTCACCATTATTGTTATGACGCAATATATGATCCATAGTTCCAATAGGTGAACAAAAGCGAGTTTTGCCTTTTAGGAGGCAAAGGAGGTGAGCGCATATTGAGATCACAATAAGAAGTCACTTGGATTTAAGATTTGTTCACTTTTGAATTTTCCACGTTTGGACTGATCACTTTTGTAGTAGATTTCAATGGTCACTTATTATTTGGATATAATTTGTTTCACGTTAACACAAAGGACTATATCACTAATGTATATTTTTTGAAAGACTATTGTTTTATTATATGATATAATATTTTTAGGAGCGCGGCACTATTGTTTGGAAAAAAAAAAAAAGAAAAGAAATGGGCAGACTCGGTGGACCACTCGGTCTTTTTCTGCCGTCATTTTTCTACATTTTTGTAAAATCCAGTAATATGCTGTCTCACCCAGATCTGCACATGCTCAGTTGCTCTCTTTTTTTCGTCACAATGCCGAAAATTTAGAGGCAGATCTGCTGACAGCCTAAAAATTTACTGCTGCTCAGGAGCTCTAGCTTTCAACAAAATGGCAGCCTCCAGCAAGAAGAAACAAGAACAATGCTGTAGGCAATTTACAGCACACACTAATTTTAGTAGCATAGTTATGAATGTGGAATGTATGTTCCTTGCTAAAGAACATTATTTTTCTCTTGCGTTCATTGACGGACAGAGTAGCTTCTTCTTTAACCTTAACGAAGCAGGGTTTTATAGCCCCACCTACAGGAGTAGGACACTAGGCAGAAAAAAAGATTTGGCACTCCTATGGGCAATCCTCTCTGCTATAGGTCTCCAGTCTTTTCTGCTTAGTGTCTTAGGAGGACGTGACTTGTGGTCCCACAACTTTTCCTTTTTCTTTTTTTTTATGGACTTTTGTGTTCCTGCAGAGATCTTCTATCAACAATCGAGCTAGGCAACAGACTGGATAATCTAGATCCAGTGGTCACCCCAGTCTGACCAGCGAGCGCACACAGACCGCCAGCTCCACGCATTGTCAGCCGGGAATGTCCCACAGACCAGGGTGGCCAGTGAGTTAAATGCTTCGCGGAGACACATATGACCGGGTGCTTTTAGTCTGTGTCACAGTGTACCCTGGCCAACAGCCCCCCCACTTCGATTGAGAGGAAGATCTGTCAAGGGAGCTTCACCCGCATGCTACGCTGGATTGGTAAGTAGTGCCTCCACCCCTCCTGTCCAGGACGCTGTGCAGGGCATGGATGCTCCCTGGGGTGGTAGGTCCTGTGGGGTCCCCTCTCACCCAACACATCCCTCCCCCTTTCATGCACCAGCGCCCTGGAACAGGCATGGGCTTATCCCAGGTACCTCATTCCTGGCTGGACCCTGGTAGTGCAGGCTTCCTCTCCTTCCCTCTGTGGTCTGGGACTCATTTGGGGCTGTGGTGGGAGGTGTCCATTATGGTTTGCAGGCCTGCCTGGATTGGGGGGTGTGGGGTGTGCTACATGTGGCTGGAATGGCCAGCGGCCATGTTATTGTAGCTGCGGTGGTCATTTTCTTGGAGGTTTTTGGCCTCCGACCTTTAGTGCCAGACACGTGGGTTTTTTTCTGGAGATTTTTGGCCACCAACCATTTTTTGGGGGATCTGAGTGTCTATCAAGCAATGGAGGCTGGCTGGGAGAGGTCCTTGATGTCCATTCTCCCATAGCCCGTAGCGGGGATTCCCTCAGGCACTTCAGACTTGTGGAGGCAAGGCTCACACACACACTGTGCGGGACAGATGGCGGGACACGTAGGCACCTTGGCAGCTCCTGGCGGTGGTAGTGAGTCCTCACTGGGGGTTTCTCTCACCCTCTCCTTTCTTTCTACTGGGTTAGTCTTCTGTACTGGAAATGTCTGGGTCCCCTTCTTGCGGCAGTGTCTAGCTGGTGGGACTGGTCCCATGGAAGCTCAGGAGCATGCTGCACCTCCGGGCCCCCTCTGGAGGCCCTGGGTCTCTCAGTCCCCCTAGATGCATTGTCAGTCGTCCTGGAGACGTTCGTGTCCTGTGTGGAGGCGGCAGGTGGCCGCAAGGTGAGCAAGAAGCGCCCCCTGCCATCGCCCTCGTCCTTGGACAATTCTGACACTGAACCAGATCCCGCTGCTGTGGATTCTGCATTTACCTGATCCTGAGGATTCATCCTCTGCTTCCTCGGATGAGGAGGACGGGTCATCTGCCTCCGTTGCCGCAAAGGAGAAGACATTGGTAGCGGCACCTATTGATTCGGTGCGTGAAACGATAAAGATTGAGGACCCTGTGGGGTTAGCTGATGTGATACCTGTTCCTTTTGGTATGCACAAGCCAGCTCAGGCTACTAAGGTTTTTCCTTACCCTAAATATTTTGGCAGATTTGTTTATAAGGATTGGAGTAGGCCAAATCATTATTTTCTGTGCTTCCAAAATGCTTCACAGTGCATTATCCCTTTGAGGAGGCCCTGCTGAAGAAGTGGACATCTCTGCCGGTGGATGATCCTCCCATTTCCAGGTTTAACAAGACCACATTGATTCCTGTGGAGGAATTCCCCTTATTTAAGGACCCTGGGGACCGCAGGGCAGAGGCTGTGGCCCATTTGATGTTCACTGTCACCGGATCTGCCTTTGTTGGCCAATGTTGGCTACGGCCTTGGTCTCCCAGACACTGACGAAATAGGCCAAGGCTCTACGACAAGGTTTGACTTCTAGTCAATTTCCCCAAGCGTATGAGGAGCTGGAAGACCAGTTGGTCCAGGGCTTAAAGTATACTTGTGACGCCGCCCTTAATGCAGCTCCCTTTCTTTCCAAACTGTCCGTCTCGGGCGTTGTACGCCGGCGGGTCCTTTCGCTCAAGACTTCAAGAAGGCTCTGGCGAACCTGCCCTTTCTGGGAGACCGACTTTTTGGTGCTACCCTGGATGACATCAGGAACCTTACTGGGGCAAGAGTACATTCCTCCCTCAGGCCAAGAAAGGGAAGGAACCTCGTCGAAAATTGGGGCCAAATTTTTGCCCCTCCGGCTCTGCAGCCAAGGGTTTCTGGTCCTTTAAGGCCCCTGCAGATGGCACCAAACGTCCCTGGCTCCAGAAGTTCTCCAAGCCTGCGGATAAGTCGCCTTCAGCATGAAGGATTTCCCCCACCCACTTCCAGGGCAGGGGGGAGTCTTTGCAGGTTTCTGGGCTTGTGGACCTCCCTCATTCATGACAAGTGGGTCCACGAGATCATTCTTTCACTATACAAGATAGAGTTTCATCCCCTTCCACCGGACTTTTTTCCCTCCACTCCGCACCTTGTAGTGTCAGAGTACCCAAGCCCTGTTCTGGAGTGTTTTTGTGGTAGTCTACTACCCATTCCTGTGTTTTTGCACTGTTTCCAAGGTGGCACAGGGTTTGCCTAATCCTGGACCTCAAGGCCCTGAATGTCTTCATGCAGGTTCACAAGTTCAAGATGAAATCTATTTGCTCAGTGGTGGCCTCTCTCTGCCAGGGAGATTTCCTGGCCTCCTTGGACATCAAGGGCACTCGTTTTGACATCGGGGATGCGCATTATCAATTCGTGGCGTTGCCCTTTGGTCTGGACTCCACACCTCATGTGTTTACCAAAGTCCAAGCCCCGGTCCTGGCCTTATTGAGACAAACGGGGGATTGCAGTGATTGGCTACCTGGGCGATTTGATCCTGCATACAGAGACTCACTCCTCGCTATTAGTGTGGAGATCACCTATGCGTTCTGTACGGGACTACAGGTGGATCCTGAACCTCAGAAAGTCGTTTTAGACTCCGTCCAGGCGCATAGGGGCTGATTCTCGATTCGGAGCAGGCCAAGGTGTTCCTTCCATCTGAGAAATTGTTGAAGCTCCAGTTGCCGGTTTGGCAACTCCTGCCTTGCGGCCCTCTCTGCGCCTTTGAATGCAGGTGTTAGGCTTGATAGTGACTACCTTCAAAGCGGTTCCATATGCCCAGTTTCATATGAGAATACTACAGAGGGCAATCTTATCGAACAGGGCTTCCGCTTTCTCTGACCTTTGGATTCACCTGGAATGGTCGGAGAGGGCCACCCTTTTTTGGTGGATGAGCTCCCCAGCTCTGCAGAATGGAAAATTTTTCCTCCCCATTCCCTGGACTGTGGTCACAACAAATGCCAGCCTGTTGGGCTGGGGAGGAGTCCTAGGAGCGGACTCTGCTCAGGGTCGATGGACTCCGGGGGAAGCTCACTTAACCATCAATATCCTGGAGCTTCGGGCAATCAGGTTGTCACTGATGCATTCGACAGACTGTCAGGTCTGCCGACCAGGATTCAGTCGGACAATATCCGTGGCAGTGGCGTATGTCAATCATAAGGGGGGCAAAAGAATTGCAGCAGCGGTGCTGGAGGCATCTCACATGCTGCAATGGGTGGAGAGGTTAGTTCTGGCTCTGTCCACCGTACACTTTCCAGGCGTCGAAAACTGGCAAGTGGATTATCTCATCCGTCAGATGCTGGATCAGGGCGAGTGGTTCCTACATCCTGAAGTGTTCCATCAGCTCTGCAATCACTGGGGGACTCCAGACCTGGAACTTCTGGCTTCTCGTCTCAATCGGAAGGTTCCACGGTTCGTGGCACAATTGTTGGATTGTTGGCAGATGCAGAGGATGAGCTGGTGGCGACATGGGATCAGTACACTATCATCTACGCCTTTCCACCCCTTTCGGTCTATTCCTTGTCTACTACGCAAGATAGAGGCCAAATGGATCCCAGTCATCCTCCTTGCTCTGGACTGGCCTCATTGTCGACGTGATGCGATTGGTGGCAGATACTCCCTGGAAGCTGCTTCTTCAGTGCCAGTCTTCCACCCTGCTTTACTGTTGCTGGCTTTGACAGTGTGGCTATTGAAGTCAGGTTCTGAAGGACAGGGGGTTGTCTGGCTCAGTGATTCTGACTATGTTGAAAGCCCATAAGTCTACAACCCGGAAAATTTATCATCACACCTGGAGAGCCTATATTGGTTGGTGTGAAACCTTGGGGTTCCATCCGCGTTCCTTCGTGGTGGCTTGGGTGTTGGCCTTCCTCCAACAGGGTGAAGATCAAAGCTTGCATTGAATACAGTCAAGGGTCAAATCTCTGCTCTGGCTATTTTCTTTCAGCGGCCGTTAGATACGGATTCTTTGGTCTGTACTTTCATTCAGGGGGTTCATCACGTGGTCCCTCCTGTGCGCTACCCTTTGTAACAGTGGGATTTGAATTTGGTGCTGTTGGCTCTTCAAAGGTCTCCATTTGAAACCATTTGGGAAATCCCCTTGCTTACGCTTTCGCAAAAGGTTGCCTTCCTTGTCGCTATAACAGGGTGTCGGAGTTGGCTGCTTTGTCCTGTAAGCCGCCTTATATGGTTTTACACGGTTTTACACAAGGACAAGGTGGTGATTCGGCTTTCCCCTTCCTTTCTCCCTAAAGAGGTGGCTCTGCATTCCCTGGATGTGGTCTGAGCAATTCCTGTGTACTTGTCTGTAACTGCTGCCTTTTGGAGGTCAGACTCTCTCTTCGTCCTGGATGGTCCTGGTGGCATCTTCTGCCACTATTTCTCGTTGGATTTGGCAGACAATTGTTGAGGCATATGCTGTTAAGGGCAAGAGCCTCTCTTCCCGGTTCGGCGCACTCCACTAGGGTGGTGGTTAGCGCCTCCTGGGCATTCTGACATCAGGCGTCTGTTTCTCAGGTTTGCAAGGCGGCGACCTGGTTGTCTGTGCACATGTTTACGTAGTTTTATAAAGTTGATGTGTTGGCATCCTCTGATACTAGTTTTGGCCACAAAGTGTTGCAGGCAGATGTTTAGGACTCCTAGGCCTCCCCTTTTGGGGTCATTCGGACTGTTGGCTTGTTTCCCTGGGGTTTCTTTCTTTTTGCATTGTATGGTTGCCCTCCCCTCATTCTGGCACTTCTTAGGGACATTCTTGCTTTGTTAAGATTAAAGAAGAAGCCACTGTGTCTGTCAATGAACGTAAGAGAAAATGGGATTTTTTTGTACCCACCGTAAATTCCCTTTCTCTGAGTTCATCAACGGACACAGCCAATCGTGATCATATGATCGGGACCCGTACGACGATCAGTGTTCCACTGTGTCCGAAGGACACAGCGGCACTGGATCGCGGTGCTGCACGCTCCCAGGGAGAGCGCGCACAGTCCAAAATGGCAGGCGCCATTTATGAACGGCAACCCGCCCCTGGACTACCACCGTCTGGCCGTTCATATACAGCGGCCGGACAGCAAGTGGTTAAAGAAGAAGCCGCTGTGTCCATTAATGAACTCAGATAAAGGGATTTTACGATGGGTACAAAAAAATCCAGTTTTTATCACGTTAGGGGTAAAGTTCCACTTTAATGCACATGACGTTTTAAAGAATGAACATCTCTGAAATTATGTTTATATAAATGCACCACTTTGCCTTCTAGTCATGCGATGTCCACACAACTCTTTTAAAGTTCATAGTGAACAGAGCAGAACTTGTAGTGATAACAATAAGTCCTACTAAGTGACATATCGGCATGTCACATATCGGTGTCTGTACAGTGACATATCGGCACTTCCTCAAACTCAATCTTTCCAAAACTTCCTCAAACTCAATCTTTCCAAAACTGAGCTCTTAGTATTCCCTCCAGCCCGTGCCCCCTCCACTGACTTCTCCATCAAGATCAATAACACAATCATCAGTCCCTCCCCTCATGCCAGGGTAGTAGGTGTAATCCTAGACTCCCATCTGTCCTTTCAGCCCAAATCCAATCACTGTCCAAATCTTGTAGACTTCTCCTCCACAACATCTCCAAGATACGCCCGTTCCTAACCTCGGAAACCACTAAGCAACTTATTCCCTCCCTTGTTATCTCTCGCCTTGACTATTGTAACTCCCTCCTCATTGGCCTACCTAATCACAGGCTATCCCCTCTTCAGTCTATCATGAATGCTGCTGCCAGACTCATCCACCATACTAACCGTTCTGTATCTGCCACCCCTCTCTGCCAATCCCTTCACTGGCTTCCACTCAGTGTCCTCCACCCCTCTCTGCCAATCCTTCCACTGGCTTCCACTCAGTGTCCTCCACCCCTCTCTGCCAATCCCTCCACTGGCTTCCTGTTGCCCAACAGATAAAATTCAAAACACTAACAATAACGTATAAAGCCATTTATAACTCTGCCCCAAATTACATCACCGAACTTGTCTCTAAATATCACCCATACCGTACTCTCTGCTCCTTGCAAGACCTCCTACTCTCTAGCTCCCTTGTCTCCTCCCATGCTTGTCTCCAGGACTTCTCCAGAGCTTCCCCATCCTCTGGAACTCTCTACCCCAATTTATCAGACTATCGCCTACTCTGCTCACTTTTAGGCGATCTCTGAAATAGTCATGATAATGAGAACTTACCATTCTCTGGATGGATGTAGAATGCTCCACTTCCGGCTGACAGCACTGTGTAGGTGACTCTGCTGTTCTCCCCGGAGTCCCGATCTGTGGCTGAGATGGTGATAAGCGGAGTCCAGGCCTTCGTATGTTCTGTGATGGCCACCTAAGAGAACAAGACACATGCAGTCATTACAACAGCAATGTCAAAACATCAGCACTAGAGGGAGTGCTTTAACACACCACTCCACTGATGAGCCATGTAATAACTGCACCAAGGGATTTGTGTTACAGATTGGCAAAATAATTGCTTTTTCATTTCTGCGTAGAGATGAACAGTGTAATTTCCTTTATAAACTTACTACTTCCCAGTTTTGCTCACTGAGCTGCTTGGACAAAATTTGCTTAAAGTGGGGCAGCACAGTGGCTAAATGGTTAGCACTTCTGCCTGGCAGTACTCGGGTCATTGGTTCGAATCCCAACCATGGCACCACCTGCCTGGAGTTTGCATGTTCTCCCTGTGCTTGCGTGGGTTTCCTCCGGGTACTCCAGTTTCCTCCCACACTCCAAAGACATGCTGGTAAGTGAATTGGCTCCTGTCTAAATTGGCCCTAGTATGTATGAATGTGAGTTAGGGACCTTAGATTGTACACCCCTTGAGGGTTAGGGACTGATGTGAATGTACAATATATATATAAAGCGCTGCGTAAATTGATGGCGCTATATAGGTACCTTAAATAAATAAAGTGGTATGAAACCCAAAGCAAACATTTGTTATATTGGAGCTTACCAATTCTTAGATGTGATGGCTGCATTAGGTAACTTTTTTAAGCTTTCTTTCTCTTATCTTCACCTAGTAATCTAGCCAGTAGGTGTGTTGTTTTTCAACAGAACAAACTCTCTTCGAGATGTAGCAGTTAGAGGGTTGAGACAAAGCATTTATCACTGACAGGGGTGATTCTATTTATTTATGTAAAACCTTTATCAAAAAAGGAAAAAAACTGTTGGTCGTAACTGCCTAAAAAGTGTGAGCTGGAGTTTGGCTTCAATTTGTTAGTGTATCTAAATCTACTAGTCCGTCTAACATTTCCCTCCCCCCAGACTGACAATGCTGTTGTCTAAAGGTGCCCCCTGTACTTCATCATCCAGAGTGGGGATGCCCTAATAGAGGAGGTGTGTTACTGGCCAGATCACCACCGGGTGAAAACAGAGGGAAAAATAGTCTAAAAAAGAAAACTAATCCAGACACCTCATCTAATGATTGGAAAGCTACACTTTATAACATTTTTTGGTTATGGATTTAATGTTGCTTTAAACAAAATTTACTACTTCTATGTTTATGGGATATATTTAGGAGAGTACAATTTATGTCTTTTTTTTTTTACCTTTTTTGTACGTATTTGATATTTGTGAGCTATTTTATGCAATGTGTAATTTTTTTCACTTGTCATTATTGAATATGTGAAACAATGACTAAATGGGGATTTTGTGGCACAAGAACAAGTCCAAGACAGATGACCCCCAGAAATCATTTAAAGCATTCAACCCACCAAAAAGAAAAACATTAAAGCTGAAGTTTAATCTGCTTAAATATGCCCTTCCCTAGTTCCTTCCTCCCCCTCATCAACATTATTAATTATTTTTTTTAAATACAGCCCTTCTGATTTTATTTCACATACCTCTCTATGCAATGCAGTCAGATCATGACTGGTGGGAGGGCTGGCAGGGTACTGTACATAGCTGCCTGAAAACATCACAGCACCCTGTCTCATTACTCCTCTCAAGACTTGTCAGCTATGATACTGTAAGCCGTGTACCGGGGTGGGCTCCCCAGGATACAGTGAAGTCACGGACAAGGAAAGCAAACCCAACACCAGCTTTTGCCACAACAGATTTTTACTTAGATGTGGCAAATAAACACAACCACAAATGCTGGGAACATACAATAAATTTACATACACCCAGCCCAAAGGCTGAGACCCTTGTGCTGCACAGCACGGCGCCTTCTGATGGATGAAGGTAGAAAGTGTAGTAATTTACCTACTGGGGGCACAACTAAGCTGCCACACCTTACCTGTTATTACCCTAAAAGAGCAGGAATCAGTGTATGGGTGTACGGTATGGCTAGCCTGCGGTGCAGCACAACAGCTTACAATCTTACACAAATCTACAGTATTCCCCCTCCCATAACTGGTCCTGTAGCACGTGCCTGAGTATTCCTTCTGAGCAAAAACGCCAGTCTGGCTTGAGTTTGTGGGATTTTATCAGCTCTCCAATGTGAAATGTCGCTTTAAGTTATGAAGTCCTTCCAATGATCAGTAATAACACTTGTGGCCTGACACAAACAGAGACCCTAACTAACTTTAGGCTGGTCTCAGTCTCTAGGCGCCAACACTGATATAAGGTGCGTGCACGATATTACCGACCCGGGTCTGCTTTGCATCCGCTGGTGACACTGAACAGAACAAATGTCTCTCCAACGGTATCGCAGTGTATGTTGCTTTGTTCCTCTGTTCTCATCAGCATTCCTGGCAGCAATCTTCCTTTCTCTGAACAGGATCAGGGTCTTGGACACGATCAGCTTCACTTAGCTGCAGCTCTGGTTATTGAGGGATGCTCTCACACCTGGATGCCATCAGATTCTCTGCTCACCCGGCTCCTTCATTCACCATCCTCCAAACATGGCTCCTCTCTCTCACCTCTTCCTGTTCTCTAAACTCTGAGTGAAAACCATACCTCTTCATGAATATAGAAATATCTATGCAGTCTGAGGCTGTGTTAGGAAAACAGTGACATCTTGTGGCTAAACCGCAAAATGTCAGTCCAGAACATTTAATTTACTCCACACAAACAGTGTTCAAACAATGAGAGCTGTTTCCCCATCTCACAATACCAGCAATGGGTTGAAACTTGGAAGGAGTTACACAAATATTAAAATGCCTTGATGGCTGGGTGTCAGTCTGGAGGAGTGGACATTTCATAGACAGGCTGTATTCACATGCAAACCACCCTAGGTAATGCCCACTTGTTATACTGAACCTCCAAGATTGAAAGAACTGAAATCCAGTTAATGAAAGGGGCGGGCCAGGGACAATTAGGCTGGGGGAAAGGGCTTAGATCACGGATGTCAAGCTGGCGGCCCTCCAGCTATTGCCAAACTACAAGTCCCATGAGGCATTGCAAGATTGACAGTTACAAGCATGACTCCCAAAGGCAGAGGCATGATGGGACTTAGTTTTGCAACAGTTGGAGGGCCACCAGTTTGACATCCCTGGATTAGATGATGCTATCTGACTTGCTGCAGCTTCCATGCACACTGGAAGATGCTGAGCTGTTGGATTAGGGAAGAGAGAGTGAACTGCCCATGCACGTCTTTAGAATCCTTTAAAATCAGGAAGCTTGCTAGCTCTTGTGATGCTGTGGAGAAGCATATGTGTGTTCCATTAAGGAGAAGGCCTACAGGTATGTGTGTTACATTAAGGAGGAGGTCTATAGATATGTTTGTAGTGGCCTCCTTGGCAGCTAGGAGGAGCTTGATTTTAATTTGTAGATTAGGGCAGAGAAGCAGCTCAGGTGTAATAGTCAGAGTGTGGTCAAATTGTGGTTACAACTGAGAGGCTCTTCAGACCAGCACTCTGGGACTTCTCCCTGTTCTAGGATTTTGTAGAAGATTCTAGAAACGGAGGAGGTGAGGAGTGGCTTGTCTGCACTCTCAAGAGATCCTGGTCAATCCCCAACAGGAGGCTTGACGTGGGGCCAGGACAGCCCTTAAAAGTGGTTTGAGCCTGCTCAGAGGCAGGGAAAGTTCTGGTGGAAGATGGAGAAGTGAGCCTGGAGAGCAGGAGCCTGGGAAGAAGCCAAGATGGGAAGGGGCTCACCTACAGGCAGGGAAGCTTGGAATGAGGTAAGCTTGGGACTTCACTAGCCCCCAGTGTGAGAACCACCTGTACAGCAGGGAAAAAGCAGCCCAGCAGAAGGCCTGAAAGCAGCCACCGACCCAGCAGCTCATCGGGGGAGGACTGAGTGAATGGACCTACAATCCCTGGGCCGGTGAGGGGTAAGGAGCACTCTGGTAAGAAACTGGATCGGATGCTACCTGGGACTGTCTTACCCTTAAAGTGACAGGCACTGGATCCCCTGCCCAGGGATTCACTCAGAACAGCTGGATAGAGTAGTGTCTAGGGTTTTGGGTGGTACTACATGAGATGCTGGCTAGCTTGCCAGAAAATCTTTTGTCTGTGGACTTGTACATAGTTGCTAAGGAGTTGTCCTCAAGCTGCAGTTCCTTTGTGCATCCCATACACCCCGTACCCTATCCAGGTTTATATTCCCCTAATAGAATCCAAAAAACAAACTCAAGGACTACTTACTGTCTCCTGGGTGCAGGTCTGAATCAAGGATGCATTTTGCCTGGCTATGCAGGACTACAGGTGGACCCAAAGCTTGGCAACTTCTAAGGGGGTAGTGCTAAATGTGTGTTGCATTAAGAAGAAGGTCTACAGATATGTGTGATCTATTAAGGAGAAGGCCTACAGGTATGTGTGTTCCATTAAGGAGGACCTACATTTATGTGTGTTCCATTAAAGAGAAGTTCTATAGGTGTGTGCGTTCCATTAAGGAGAAGGCCTACAGGTACATTTGTTCTATTAAGGAAAAGGCTTACAGGTACATGTATTGCATTTAGGAAAAGGCTTACAGGTATGTGTGTTGCGTTAAAGAGAAGGCCTACAGGTATGTGTGATGAACTGTGTTTTTGCACAATGTATTCTGAACTGCCAAGACCCCTTGTTTGCATGGACCAGTTTTCATAAAATATGAAGGTAGCCTTTAAGCCCCTTCCATACCTGAACAATTTGTCACATGTACTGTATTTAGGCATGAATATGAAAATGCTCAACATCAAAAATGCCATTCTTTTGTATTTGGCTCAGTCGCTCACAGTTCTAAATGGTACATGAGCTCGTTTTGAAGCTGTGCCCCACATTTTTGGCTTCATAGACTTTAATAGAAGCACCTGTAAACAATCAACACAATCGTTTTCACACATTTTTTTTGCATTTGGACAATTGTTCTCCTCTGCTCTCCTCTTACCCAGATGACCCAGCAAAAATGAAGAAGCATTATACTGGATGTGAAAGCATTTATCTCTGTGGGTACACCCCGGTCTTTACAACCTCAGAGATAAGCATTGCAGGAGCAAGAGGCCAAAGTCCTGAGAGGACAGAGGGAAGCAGGTATACCCAGATTGGGGATCCTACTCAGTCACAGCAAGACAGCCACAGTAAGGCTCTGTCTGTAAGACTCTGTATGCATACCTTTCATTCATTCAAACAAGCCCGCTTCAAAAAATGCTTGCCTATGCTTCAAAATAACCTAAGAAACACTCAGCACAGGTGTGAATGGGGCAATTCTTGCCTTCAGCACACATGTGAGACCTAAATTGGAGGCCACGTTGTGACTGTTCAGGGGAGACCCTGATTAAGAGTCACCAAAATAGATGTCACGAGGAACGGTCAGGGGCCCATTTTATGGGGGTCATAGATTTTGTGACATCTACCTGGTACAGGCTCTGACGGAACTCTGGAGCATTATCGTTGACATCCTGCAGCAGGAGGCGAAGGTCTGCCCGGCTCTGGTGTTTTCCATCAGAAGTTTGAATGCTTAAAGTGTAAGATGTCCTCTCTTCATAGTCCAGTGGTTCTGTCAGCCATATGTGGCCACTATAGCGAAAGATGCTGAAGGCGCCTCCTGGGAACCCATCCACGGATAGCACGTACCATAATGGTGGCCCCGAGTCCACATCGTTTGCTGTCACCTGGGCAACCTCAGAGCCAATTACAGCATCTGGAATGCAAAGAAAATGGAGATAAGCCGATAGATATTAATGGATAAAGTGATTCTGAACAGCTTTAACTATCAAAAGGCCTACCTTACTGCATAGCTTACACTAGTGACCCTGATATTCACTGATGGGATATTGAAGTTTTCTGTGTCACATGTCTGCTCGCAGGTCTGATTCAGAATCATCACATTACTGGTGTCCTCCATGTGTTCTTACCCCTCCTGTACTAGTATAATATAAAGCTATTTTTTATTAAGGTTTGGATAGTAGTTACTTTGTTGTTTATGTGTTTTAGGGGATATTCCACTTTGCGTCTTGGAGACACAATAGGAAGCGAGGGAAAACTCCTGTTAGACATTTGACTCCAGAACAGATGACCCCACTGGAAGATGTACCCACCAGGGGTGGACTGACCATTTGGAAACTCGGGAACTGCCCGAGGGCCCGGGGTCAGTAGGGGCCCCATGAGATGCCCCTGGTACCTTTTTCATAGGCTTTTTTGAGTTTGGGCAAGGACACAGGGGCCCCATGATCCCCTATTGCCCGGGGGCCCCATGAGTTGTCAGTCCGCCCCTGGTACCCACTATTCCTGCTCTAGTGACAAATGTAGTTGGCTCTTGGCAAAACGCTCATGTGTGACTTCATGGTCCAAATAACCCAGTTTCCAGTTATGTGAACAGTTCTGACACAAACATCTGCCCCATATACACAAGCCCTTAGGCTGCTGAGTTTCTGCATATTCTGGCCAGCATGAAATAATATTATTCTGGTGTTAATTGTACACCTACCTTCAGAAACACTCAGCTCCATCTGAATGGGGATGGTAGGACTGTTATCATTTACATCCATTACCACCAGGGTGAGGGTTGCCGACCCAGTCAGTGAAGGAGACCCCCGATCTGTCGCTGTCACCAACAACCTGAAATACAAAATAAAAAAGATGTGCTGATTGGACATACTCTAATATGTGACATCTTCGGAACAGGAGCTACAAAGATCTTATGTAAATTGCCAGTTAGTGGAAGCAAAAGCAATGGAACATGGAGGGATTGCAGGACATTCAGTGTATACAGGGAAGATGTCAACATATAGAAAGAGTAGAGGAAGAGTTGAGGAAGAAAATAAACCAGAATATGGAGAGAAAAGAGACAGAAGACTGTATTAAGGCCATACTCACCGTGCCTCGGACCAGATCTCCCGGTCTAAAATGGCAGCTGTTGTGATGATACCTGTCTGGGCATCAATTCGAAATAGATCCTTCATGGGCTGTGATGGCCCAAAAGCGTAAATGACCTGACCATTCATGCCTTGGTCTGGATCTTCAGCGAGAACCTGGAGGACAAAAGAATACTCTTGTCACCCGTGTAGAAGCTGACAGTTACCTTATTCTGACCTCTAGAGCTCTGATCCCTAACTTTTGATTGGACAATCAACATCTGCCTTGACGCATTTCATGGTGATTTGGTTGAGGTGATTGTGCCACTAGAAATAAATGCTGGGGTATGATCCCTAGCTGATCTTCTTGGATGAAACACCTTTAAATTGTTACTTTACCCACAACAGGAAAATCAGTTTGTAGATGCAGTAAAGCATGCTTGTTATACTGTGGAACCTAAGGGGTTAATCTTCTGCATTGTGAAAAAAGGCTGTTTGATCCTGACTTTTCTGATCCTCTCCTTTTTCCAGCGTCCCCCTCTTAACTCCTGATAAGACATATCATGTGGTGTCACTCTGCACATGCTCAGTTTGGTGTGTATTGTTAGAGAGGTTTTTTTTCTTGAGAAAGTGCATGTGATCAGCACAGGACCAATCAGCGCTGTCCAGACAGAGGTCAGGGGTTCTGCATCCTCCAAGAGCAAAATGAAAACTCCTCCTACAAGCTTTACCATGTGCTCTGCTGGACACTGATAGAAGTCACAAGACTGATTTAACTACTGATGAGAAAAGGTATTTAGCAGTTTATATTTACTAAAATAATTGCACTTCCATGTTCTGTGTACTGTGGGAGAGCAGATATAGTGAATGCAGGTTCCTGGGTTTAGTAACATTACTTTAACATTACAGAACAAGTCCAGCTACTACTAATTATACCTTGAACTGGATATATGAGAACCTTCACAGACTTATTCAGGAGGTTTATATAAAAATGTACTATTTGCCAATCTGAGGATCAGTTTTTTACTGGATGTCAGTGGATGCCAGTATCAGTAACGGTGCCGATACCGAGTACTTGCTCAAGTACTCGTACTCATGCAAATGCTCCTGATACTCGAAACTGATATCTTTGCAGTGGATTGAACCCATACAAAATGAATGGGTCAAATCGCACTGCAAAGAATTGTATGCGATTTGAACAGGAATGTGGTGCCATTCCTGTCTGAATTGCATGTGGTTTCCCCCCACAGATTCTGTGTGAACCCAGGATTTTCATTGTGACTTTGAGCCTGAGTTCGCACAGGAGTGGTGCAGGGAACCTCCCTGAATGAAGGGTTCCAGCAGCTCCAGCTCCCGATCTCACTGTGGATATCCTCGTGCCTCTCCCATGGTTCTCTTCCCCCAGTCTCTAGCGGCTCTCTCCCCAAGCCTTCAGCAGTTCCAGCCATCCACTGCACAGTGGGGGATTGGCAATCTGGTACAGTGGAACTGGGTGGATAGGAAAAGGTTCTAGTGGATGGCTGGAACCGCTGTAGGCTGGGGTGGGGGGGAGAGCCACTGGAGACTGAGAGGAGAGAGCCATGGGAAAGGCAGGTGGAGCCCAAACTGTGGCCGCTGATGTCCACAGTGGGATCAGGAGCCAGAGCTGCTGAAACCCATCATGCAGGGAAGTGTCCTGCACCATTATTGTATGAACCCAGGCTCAAAGTCACTATAGTAAGCCTGGTTCACGCAGGAGCTATGCGGGAAACCGCATGCGATTCGGACAGAAATCGCAGCACATTCCTGTTTAAATCACATGCGCTTCTATGCAGTGCGATTTGAGCCCATTCATTTTCTATGGGCTCAAATCGCACCACAAAGGTATCGGTACTTGGTATTGGTGAGTACTTGACTGAAAGCATCGGTAATCGTACTCTCCGGTAACTAAACGGCATCATTGCATCCCTAGATGTCACCATTCGCCTAAGACAATGCTCCCTCTCAACTGACAGTTTCCACATCTGGAACTTTTAAAGGATAAGTTCACCTTTGGGATCATGTTACATGTTCCACCCATTTTTAGGGTGGAACATGTAACATTGTATAGACTGTATAGCGAGCGCTACCTAAATGTAACGTGTTCAAATGAAATGTAAAAGCCGCTAGAACACCAAAAAGGTAACCAACAGACCTTTCCAAAAGACTAAAGAGATAAAAGGTGCAGCGCTAGGAAATGCCTGCTTTAAAGGGGGACCCTTGATGTCTGTGATTGCTTGATGAATCTTGGAACCCTATCATTACGGGGAAGCAGAGGACGATGTGGAATGCAGCCTGACCAGAATGCTGATGACCTAGAGATTTGATGAGAAAGGAAACTTCTTTCATGCGTATTTAATACGCACTTCTGGTGAGTGCGCATTCTATTTATCTAACAGTCTTCACCTCTGGATTGTATATTATCACCACAGACAGGATCCTGCAAGATTTATGTGATATATACCTTGTGATCTGGATGTTTTACTTTATTGTGATTATCAATTATATTGCACACTGTGCCTTTCATAACAGTTTTGTATATTGCTCATAACATTTCAGTTGTCATTTGCACTATATTTCCTAGCGCTGCACCTTTTATCTATGTAACATGTTCCCATAGCTGCTCACCTATCCCCCTTCTTCTGACAGATAGTACGGGGAGAAGTATCTGTAAAATTTGAAAACAGCATGGCCGTGTGGGGCTCCGCCCACACGGCCGTGTCATTCATTCATAGACGTCCATGAATGAATGAACTGCAAGTCCCGCCAGCCATAAGCGGCTGTGGGCTTGTAGTTTTCAATGACCTGCCACGGCACTGTGGAGCTGCCATGGCAGTTTATTGAAGCTTCCTGTCAGAATTATGACAGGTCTGCAGGAGACCTGCATGGCATCAAGAATCTACTGATCGCTGCTGCAATGCTTTCCAGACTTCTGTAGACAAAAATAATAAATGTACATTTGTTTTACTTCAAAAAAGTGTGCATTTATTATTTTTGTCTAAAAGGTGAATTTATCCTTTAAAAAAATGTTGGGTTATAGGATTACCTGTATGATGCGGCTCCCATCAGCCTGGGCCTCCCAGATATGAACTGTGTATTGCGGGAGCTGAAAGCGTGGTGCGTTGTCATTGGCATCCTGCAGCAGGACATTCACAGCAGTGAAGGCATAATATTGGGTCGTCTCTGCCTGAACCACCAACTTGTGCCGTGGGCTGGATTCATAGTCCAACAGTGTTGGCTGCAGTACCGTAATCTGCCCTGTGGGGGAATTCAGAGTTAGTTATTTAAAGTCCAGCTGATAAATGGTATATTTTAAATATAAAATGTTCAGCACAGTTTTCCAATGCACATTTCCTTCTGTTCTGTTTCCTTAAAAACGTGAAGCTTTGCTTTTATAGAGAGTCCAGTGGTAAAGGTACCTGTGTTTGGGTTGATGTTAAAGGCACCATACTCATTTCCGCTGAGGAAGCTGTAGGTGATCTTCCCAGAAGAGCCTCCGTTGTGTGCCGCTCTCACCGCTCCAACCACATAGCCTGCAGAGGAGGAGAAACATATGGACAGTGCAAAAAAAGTAGGTGTAAACACAATCACTAAAATCTCACATAAGCTTTAACCTGTTAATGTAGGCCTTTACAATATTTTAACCCTTGCCTTGAAGGCCCTTTTTTAGGTGCATCCTGTAGTGTGACAATGCTCTGTACTTGTCTCTCCATTGTGCTCCTGCATTGTCACCCTGTCTAATGGGCTTTTGGTGGAAACTACAAATGGCTGCTTTGACACACATCACATAAGTATGTTCCACTGTTATTAGGAAAACCACCATGCAGCCATTGCTAAACTGCACGTAGTCAGGGAGTGAGTGCAAAGAGGGACTGGCAGCACCAGGGGCGGACTGACCATTTGGAAACTCAGGCACTGCCCGAGGGCCCGGGGTCAATAGGAGGCCCCATGAGATGCCCCTGGTACCTTTTTTTCATAGGCTTTTTTGAGTTTGGGCAAGGACACAGGGGCCCCATGAGTTGTCAGTCTGCCCCTGGGCAGCACTGAGATGAACAAAAGATGAAAACAGGTATTTTAACAAAATGTATGGCGATTCTTTTGATACACGGAGCCTTAGGAAACTAGAAGTCATTCAGTTACCAGTTATATGAATGCAGGAGTTTTTGTACCCTTTCAGAAAGTGCACCACACCTGTAGGTTATAATAGAAGTCTATGGCAAAGCACAGCTAACATAGAAAAGTGACAGATTCACTGTGTTGCACCCACGGTGCAGGTAAACCGCAGCACATCAGTGTGAAAGCAGTTTTATAGGGGGCTCAGAACAGTAAGGGTTCATTTACATTAGCAGTTTGAGGGGTGGTAAAATTCCATAGTTAAGATGTGTTTTTTACCACTCCTGCCCCAACTGCACCCCCTTTAGCTGCAGTGGCCAGGGGTGTACACATGTTGTAGCCACAGCAGGAGTTATATGCCCTGTCATGGTTGGTGGGTGTAGCACCTGCCAAGCATGACCCATTCAAGTGAATGAGGCCGCTCTGCTTGTGCAGTACAGCAAACAAGGGGTTAAAGCAAGGAGCATTGTGCTGCTTTCTCACCACCTGCTTTAACACCTTGCCCTTTCTCTTGCACTTGCAGAGTGGTCCCATTTACTTGAATGGGTTGCAATTGGCAGGTGGTAGCACCCACCAAAAGCAACAGGAGGTTTAATTCCTGCTAGGGCCTATGTACACTTTTGGTTGCTGCCCCAACAGCCAAAGCAGGTAGGTGTCAGTAAAACTGCGGTTAAATTGGAGGGTTTTACCACCATCCCAACTTTATGTGTGAACAGTTCTCTAAGGGTGCCGCGGCCGATTGCAACTAAGGACTCATTCACAAGTGCAACAGGCACTGCTGCTCCTCTGAAAAGCGATTTGAGTATGTTTGACAGATGGTGAGGAGGAAACATTTATACCCATGATTGCCGTGCAATACATTGCGTGATTGCGACATGGTAGTACGGCAATTAAACAGTTTATATCAGGTGTCAGAAGACGACACTGGGCGCCAATGTGCCTGGTGATCTTTGACTTCTATGTTTTTCAGGTAGATCTCCACCTCTTTGAGGCTACCTACCTCTGTGCTAGTGTGAACCAAATGTAGGAACAAAGCAGCAATGTAGGAAAAAGGGATGCTGTTATATCAGACAGAGGGAGGTTAATTATAATACCTCTCAGGGGCAGAGAGCACACCACAGAGCATAAAAGTGATGGTATACCACAGAACGGGCCAGCTATTATATCAGAGGGACAGATGGAGGCTGTTGGACTCTTACAACACCCTTTTACATCTTTGATTTAATTAATCTGAATTATCTCAGCATTTCACCTATATGGATGGCTCATTGACCATTATCTAAGACAGAAGGCTTTCCTGTATTAATGGTTCTATAATGAGTTTGTGGGAGCTATGTGCTAATTGACTAATTATTGTACACACAATATTGAAGTCATAGGTCCAGTATGGCCCCACTCTCACCTTGCTGGCTGTTTTCTGACAAGCTGATGTCGGTGGAATCTTTCGGGAAACGAGGTCCTCGGGCTGCTTCCTCCCGTAGATGAATGATCAGCACAGCTGTAGTTGAAAGTGGAGGTTCTCCCAGATCTGAGGCTTGTACAAAGACTGTGCGATCTTTTGGACTCATCCCCTCCAGTGTCTCCAGCAAACGCACCTCCCCAGTGTAAGGGTCCACTGAAAACCCACCTTTTGTTGACTGTGGAGCCAACCTGTAGAGGATGGAAGCATTGGCACCTGCATCCTTGTCTTCTGCTCTCATTGCAGTCAGTGTCCTCTTGATGGGAGTGTTACGGGACAAGTTTAGGAGAAATGGGCTTCGCTGAAATGCTGGGGCATTGTCATTCACATCTCGGACTATAACTGTCACTGAAGCCTCTGCGCTACGTGGCCCTGAGGGATCTGAATCCATAACCCACGCTATGAATGTGTAAGCAGCTCGGCGTTCACGGTCAAGCTGAACTGCGGTTGTGATCTGTCCAGTTAATGGATCGACATGGAAGGCTCCCTGAGTACCATTAGATAGATGGTATGTTGTTTGACCATTGGGGCCATGGTCAGGGTCAATGGCTGTCAACTTCAGAACTAAACTGCCCACAGGGGCATCTTCTGAGATCTCTGCGTTGTAGGAGGCTGCTGAGAAGGTTGGAGTATTGTCATTAAGATCCAACACAGACACGGTGACAACTGTAGAAGCACTGAGAGATGGATTGCCACCATCTTGAACTAATACAGTCAGGCGGTAATCTGATACAGATTCTCGGTCCAAAGCCCGTGATGTAGAAAGGGCTCCAGATTTGGAGTCTAAATTAAAGTCAGTGGATGGATCACCATCTAATGAGAAGAAGAAGAGAAACACTAAGTATGACAGTAGGGTGTCCTCCAACACATCACTCTTCATAAAATCTTCCATTTACATAATTATAGCTCTACTTTTCCCTTTTTTTTTTACCCTTGGGTGATCTGTAAAAATGGAAGGAAACTTTAAAGCAACTCACCGATAAGCCGGTACTGGAGGCGTCCATTACTGCCGGCATCAGGGTCCCAGGCACGGAGAATACACAAGGTTGTGGGATCCTGATTTTCGGGTACTTCCAAGAACACATTGTCAATCTCAAATTTCGGAGCATTGTCATTCTCATCATGAATGGTGATGTGCACCCTGGCCTCTGACACTCGCGGAGGGGAGCCTCCATCCTGCGCATAAACTGTAACACAGAGAGTATGACACACTTAGCAGTTATATAGACAATATGTCAGACTTGGGGGAAGAGGAATCATATACAACTAAACATTCACCTGTTAGCTTGTACACCTCCTTCATCTCTCGATCAAATTCCCGCTTGGTGGTCAGAATTCCAGTTTTTGGGTCAAGAGAAAAATCCTCCCCGGTCACCCCTCCATATGTGATCTTTCCACCAGGACCTGTGGAAACAAGAGACATATGAAGGTGTTATCACCTGAGTTAATATCACCTCCATATTGTGGAAACACCATACAAGATAAATTTATATAAAAAGTGGGGATTTTATTTAACAAATTCAATTTATAGGAAGATTCTCTAAAGAAGTGAGCCATCCCAAAGTTGTGGACTATTGGTTAGTGAGGTATTACATATCTAAATAACTAGGGATTGATCTGCACACCTGCGGTGCCCATTATGAGGGACTCCCACCATTCCTGTGTGGAGTTACTAGGTTTGTACACCTGCTGTGCTCATTATGAGGGCTTCCCACCATCCCTGTGCAGAGTTCCCGAGTCTGTATGCCTGTTGTGCCCTTCTTGGGAGTTCCCACCATCCCTGCAAAGCGTTCCGCATGTTTACATTTGCTGTGTCCATTATGTGGGGGTTCCTGCCATCCCTGTGCAGAGTTCCTAGGTCTGTACACCTGCTGTGCTCATTATGAGGGGTTCCCACCATCCCTGTGCAGAGTTCATGGGTCTCTACACCTGCTGTACCAGTATGAGGGGCTTCCACCATTCATGCACTGAGATCCGGGGACTCTAGACCTGCTGTATTGATTATGAGGGGCTTCCACTATCCATGCACTGAGTTCTCAGTTCTGCACACCCACTGTGCCCATTATGAGGCATTCTCACCATCCTTATGCTGAGTTCCTGACTCTGTACAACTGCTGTGCCCATAATGAGGGGCTTACACCATCCCTGCACTGAGATCCAGGGATTCTAGACCTGCTGTGTCCATTATTAGGAGTTTCCACTTTCCCTGTACTGAGTTCCCTGGTCTGCACAAGGACCAGTGGTGTTGGGAATTACTCATAATGGATCCATCAGGTGTACAGACCCAGGAACTCAGTTCAGGGATGGTGACAGAAGAAGCCATCAAGTGTTTAACTGTCCAGCATTTATCAGGAGATGGAATATTGGTTTTGGGTGGAATGACCATTAACCTGATGTTAGCACAAGAACATTACCACATGCATTACAAGAATAGTCTACCTTTCTAGTCATGTTTCTTGTCACATCCATATTTAGGGTATGACACAAAGCATGGTCACATTCATCAGTCTCCCAGACTTCACCCCTCCACACTTAAAGAGGATCTGTAAATGGAAGACTACCCACAAACTCATCAATCTTAATGTAATGCAAGTTCAGTGACAGTGTTTACCTCTTTCAGCCCCACAACCAAAGACCTGTACCTCCATACAGACCTGGAGCTGGGGCAAATAGTCTGCAGGAACCTGTGCATTGCACCCGAAATGCACTGAGAACGGTTGCAATGCTCTGCCAACGCCTATATAAAAATATTAATTAATGCACATTTTCTTTCATTAGTATGGGGTGCATTTATTCTTTTTTTATTTCAGGTACTTATATAGCGCCGTCAATTTACATAGCGCTTTACATATATATTATACATTCACATCAGTCCCTAGCCCTCAAGGGGTGTACAATCTAAGGTCCCGAACTCACATTCATACATACACATACTAGGGACCATTTAGACAGGAGACAATTAACCTACCAGCATGTCTTTGGAGTGTGGGAGGAAACCGGAGTACCCAGAGGAAACCCACGCAGGCACAGGGAAAACATGCAAACGCCAGGCAGGTGGTGCCGTGGCTGGGATTTGAACCAACGATCCGAGTACTGCCAGGCGGAAGTGCTAACCATTTAGCCACTGTGCTTCTTTTATTCATTTTTTTTTCAAATTTAATAATCTAGTGTGTGCATGCCAGGTAAAAAGTACTGCCGTGCAAACGAAGCAAACACAGCCTCAGAATATACTATCCAGGGGTAGACTGACCATTTGGAAACTCGGCACTGCCCAAGGGCCCGGGGTCAGTAGGGGGCCCCACGAGATGCCCCTGGTACCTTTCTCATAGGCTTTTTTGAGTTTGGGCAAGGACACAGGGGCCCCATGATCCCCTATTGCCCGAGGGCCCCATGAGTCGTCAGTCCGCCGATACAATCCTTTCTTCTAGCACAGTTGCCTTCACTCACCAAGATCTCTGTCTACAGCCCGCAATCTCATCACACTTGTGCCGGCGGATTGGTTCTCCAGCACCTTCCCTTCGTACTGGGTTTTCTCAAAGGTGGGTGTTTCATCATTTACATCAAGAATGGAGATGGAAAGCGTCTGCGTGCTGGACAGACGAGGCGAGCCATGATCTGTTGCCACTAAGGTTAGGTTATATACGGGTGTCTCCTCACGGTCTAGAGCTCTCACCACAGACAGGGCACCTAATCGGAAAGACATCAATGGTACAAACAGTTAGTAGAACAAACCAGCAAACATTTTGGTTAGTCATTCCTTATATTGTAAGCACAGCAAACCCAATGAGGGTGCTGAACCACAAGCTACTATAAGCCACTTGCATACTTAGGGTCTGGCCGGGTACCTGAGGCCTACCAGAGAAAATCAGAGTGGGGGTCCACTCCATCGGCCTGCAGTACAAATAATAGGTGTGTCTTACTGTGAATGGCATGGAAATATTAATTGTAAATATATTGTATATAGGAGAGCGCTGGTGATGACTATAGAGCAGCTAGCACGCAAGGTATAGGTAATAATCCCCACAAGTATATGTAGAAAAAAGGTGCAGCACTAAAATCACAATAAAAAATTAAATGTATCAAGTGGAACACATAAATATATAAAACTTGTGAATATAATGGACAGCAAGCAGTAAGGCAACTATGTCCGTGAGCAGAAGTGGTGATAGGTGCACTACAAGTGCAACTAAAATAATCAATAACTAGTAATATTACTGATATTCGTGGTCGTGGTGGCACATTGGTAATTCATGCAACATTAAAATTATAAGTCCATAAAAGAAACTCAGTTCAAACAGTGTCCATAGATTCATAAAGTGCAGCAATCTAAAGTGCAGGACGTGAACGTAAAATTAATCACACGGGCATCCACCACCTCGGTCAGATGTACACTCAGCAGAAGGTTAATGATAACAGGTATATAGGTATATCACATCTGGAGGTGAAGAGGCAGCCAGAGGGGTTGAACGAGCTGCTCCATCAGAGGCATAGGTGGAAGAGGAACCTTTGTCTCCCCTATCTCCCCTAGGACAAGGGTTTCTCTTCCACCTATGATGGAGCAGTTTGTTCAACCCCCTGACTGCCTCTTCACCTCCAGATGTGATATATGGTCAGTGTAACACCCCTGTGAGAACTCGAACAGTATTAATCGAAGCTGCCATAATTGTTCCAGAGATATGACCTTCTTTTACAGTGAAATTGAACATGTGCTATAATGCCCTGCTGTAAAGCCTAACAAAGGTTGGAGAATGGTGTCTTCTTTCGAGGGCTTATCTGGCCAGCATGCCCAAGGGCAGATTCTAGTATACTGCCACTAATACTCAATTAGTCTGATTCTCAGAGCAACTATTATCTGTTTAGTAGAAGAGTCCACCAATATTCATAAAGCCCTTTCCATAAAAAAGAGACCATCAAATATCTGAAGCCAGTAAACAAAATATAGGGGCTGCCATTGTTCAGGCCCTAGTGAAAATGCTGGCCGTTATGATGCCTTGAGCCTTTATCTAGAAACTCATCCTAGGTTAATGACTCAAGATACTCTGCATCTTTAAAACCCTTCTCCTCCTTTGCTTCCTTGCTCTTCTTTTCTGTGTAAGCTCCCTGCAGTTGTCACTGGAGGTGACACAGTGACATGCTCTTCCATACTTGGAAGTACTGGGTATTTTATTCACTTTCAGAGCTGTGAGGGAACAAAGGAAGGATCAGTATATGCAGCTAGGAAGGTCACATTAAAGCACACCTATTACCCTACATGTAAGGGTCAGCATCATAGCCAACAGTGACTAGTGCCTGTATTACTCTCAGGAAAGGATTAATTAACGACTATCAGAAACTTGTAATAAAGAGCAGATAATAGTGTTAAGAACACTCAATGTTGAAGGAAAACCAAACTGTTCCTAAGCCTTGACATAACACCAAAGCCTGTAAACAAACAGATAATGCAGTACACAGAAACATCAACTGTTAAGCAGGACCACTATTTCAAACCTCAAAACATCAACTTTTTACAGTTACCTAAAAATAGAACTGTGGCCAGGCTATAGATATTTTCATATTTTCATATTGTAAAGCAGTAAATAAGTTTAAAACATCTCTTCAGTGACCTCTGTATCTGTAGATAGTGTGGATCCACCTTCTTGCAGTAGTAATGAGCTTGGGTTTGGTCCGAACCCAATTTCGGCCAACCCAGAAGTAAGCTGTCATTGCTTTCCCAATCAGCTGTTGGTGGAGGATTCCATGTGGCCATGTTAGGCCAATTGGCATTGACAGGTGCCTTCTGGGATCAGCCAGACCAGACCCAAATCCAAGCTCATCTCTATCCATTAGTGGCCTGGCAGCCTGTTAGCCTTCTAACCTCTAGTGTAAACACAGAGCAGGTGAGTTCTGAGTCCAGACTTGAACGACATCACGGTTTCTCTTTTTGAGAAGCAGTGACTCTACAAAAGTTATTGAGAGCTTTGCTTAGTAAAATTTGTTTAGTGATATCTTACCTGTGTGTGGATGTACCTGAAACCGACCATCCTCATTTCCTCCAGCTATCTGATAACCAACTCTCCCATTCTCTCCTAGGTCTGGATCTTGTGCCACCAGGAAAAGAGCTGTGGATCCAACAGGCAGGTCTTCAGATAACCACACTGTAGCTGGTGTGAGAAACCGTGGAGTGTGGTCATTGCGATCGCTGAGAAAAATTCTGGCAGTGACGGAAGTTGACCGACGCTGACTGGCATTCACTGCCCGATCTGTAGCTTCCACCATGAGTAGGTAAGAAGACACTTTTTCACGATCTAATGGCTTTGCTACACTCAATACTCCAGTCTCTGCATCCAGTCGAAAAGCAGATTCAGCAGCTTCTGGCTCCTGTCGCATCAAGGAATAACGCACCTGGCTATTGGGGCCTGGACCATCGTGATCAATAGCTTGGAAGGTGAAGATGGAGGAACCAACCTGTGCATCCTCTGGAATCACCAATGTCAATGGGTCCTCTGGAAACATTGGTGAGTGATCATTTTTGTCCTGGACTTCAATTTCTACTTGCACTACCCTTGGGGGCAGATACATTCCAGAAACTTCACGGGCTTCCTCAATGCTTACTCGGAGGCTGTGACGAGGCTGACTCTCAAAGTCTAGTTCTTTTACAAGAAATATGTTGCCAGTTCGACCATCAACCATGAAGTTTCCATGTTGGTCATCTAATAAAGTGTAGATCGCAGAACCATGGGGAGTTTTAGGGGAAACAACACACCCAGAAGAGATCCAGGTGGTAGTCCTTCCATTGGCGTCAGGACTAGTATGCTGGGGTTGGGTTTGGTAGGGTAACGAGTAGATGGCACCACCTAAAAATGTAAGTGTAACTATAGTTAGTTAGTAGTTATTATATTTTTTTAGCATTTGGATATTTATATGTTGGTATAGTACCTGAATACGGACAGTTGCTTCTGAGCTTTTAGCTGGAGATCCAGAGTCTCTAGCCTGGACAGTCATTGTGTAGTGGGATCGCTCTGCATGATGTAAAACTGTTGATGTGCGCATTTCTCCTGTGTGTGGGTGAAGGGTGAACCGCTCCGCCCATGGACCTTAGAAGTGATAAACAAGATACACTTTACTGGATGCATATATTATAGAATCCCAACCCAAGACTATGAGCGTTGGGGTCATGTCAGATCCTGAACATTTTGGAGATATACTATTCTATAGTAAGTAGCCCATGATGTCCCTATGTCAGTGGTCATTGGGGGCACTAAAAGACTTTCTATTGGTGTCAATGGGAATATTAAAAAGACCCCTCTTCCTGAGAACTGGTGTCAACAGGTATCATAACCCCCACTCCTGGGCAGTAGTATTTGGACGTAAATTGTAAACTTCATGTCCCGTGATGTACTTTGTTGTGACAATAATGGCTGGGACTATACAGGCACTAATGGGCAGGGGATCATGCTTAGTAGTGCCTGTAATTGACTGCTGAGTCCAATATTCATCAGTTGCTGCCACTCTTAACAAGAGATAACCTAGTGTGCAATGACAAAGCTCTGAATTCAGGGCCTTCTTATTGCAGGGGTTTGTCTATGGCAGCCAGTGGGACGTAGTTTGGGGACTGTTGCTCTTTCATGTGTTTTCTTATTTCTAGTAATAGTCAGGTAAACTTTTCTCTCTTATATTATGCCCTCGCACAGAGCACAGAAAATTCCTATGTCTAGTGTGCTTTTAGTTATGAGGAGACTGAGGTAGGGCTTGAGCTTAAGATAAAAAAAAAGACATTTAAAGACTTTATTTTGTTTGCATCCTCACTAATATAACAGTTTCAAAAGAAAGGTAAAATTGAGTTTTAAAGGTCAGTTCACCCAGAGCTGTTATTTGACTTTTGGGTGGATGCAATATATCCACTACCTTGCTACATATTGGCTTGTGATATTTCTGCACTTGCCAATGGGGTCTTTGCATCTGACATGCTAGCTGTGCCTTCTGCAAGGACCCCTTTTTAGGGGTTATCACCCTGTTGGAGTTGTTGGAGAGTTCCAGCTACTTGGCAGAACTGATACAGTTTGGCACTTCAAAGTATACTCGTGCTACAGGGAGAACAAGCCTGTGGAATCCTGTACAGATAATTAGAACTGTACTGACCCCCCAACATCTACTGGACTGGCCACCACAGTGGAAGGTCTTTTGTTTGTAGTAGAGATAAGTAAGTACCTGACAAGCTGTAGATGACCGTTCCGTTCTCCCCCTCATCTGGATCTTTTGCCAAGATGGATGCCGCAAACATACCTGAACTTTTGCCCTCCATTATCTACAGAAAGAGAAGACAAAGGGCATAATACTCTGGTCAAGAGAGAAGATACACTATGCAGCATCAATTTCTTTGTGACTTTCTATAAACATGTTGCCCCTCCTAACGCTATAGTTTCCCTGATATCATGGTACCCACCAACAAAATGTCCCCCCATTACCAAAGTCCCTCGTTATCATGTCTTCCACTGGTCACCTGTATTGGTGTCTCCCTTCCAGATATGGGGTACAAAAATTCAGGATGGTTGTCATTCTCATCTAACACAGAGACATGGATGGTTCCAGTCACACTGCGCGGAGGAGCTCCTCCATCCTGGGCAATGACCAGTAGCTGGTAGGTGGCCTGGTGCTCCCGGTCAAGACTCCTTCTTACAGACAATTCTCCTGTACAGACAGAAGGCAAGACATACAAAAAATGTTTGAGAATAGATATTTGGGAGGAAGATGATGTTGATGGCTGCAGGATATGTTTGGATTTTTTAAGTAACCACAGAATGTTACTTACTTAATGACCACTTACCGGTATGTGGGTGTATACTGAAGTCAGTTTCTTGTGCTGGAAGTCTGTAAGTAATACGTCCATTCTGACCAGCATCTCTGTCTGTAGCACTGACCCTTCCCACAATTTCCCCTGAGGGCCGATTCTCAAGAATACTCATGAAGTACCTCTCCTCACTAAGGCGAGGAGCATTGTCATTTCTCATCAGTCACTCGAACACGCACGGTGCAAGTGGCAGTGCGGATGCCAGATCCCCCAGATGCCAAGACTGCCAGGACGTAAACTTCCCGACTTTCTCGATCCAGGGCCCCTCGTACATACAGCCACCCAGTCTCTGGCTCAACACTGAACCCCACGGCATCAGCATCTGGTCTCAGCCTATAACGTAAAGGGTTCTCCCCTCCACCTGGAAGCAAAGCTTGCACCTGCACCAGCCGGCTCATTGGAGGACTACCTTCTCGGACCTCCACACGATAATCAGAGGCTCCACAGGCAGGCTCAGATTCCTGTTCCAGCACAAGAACAGTGACTTCCAACTCAGAAGACAGCTGTGGGAATCCACCATCAAGGGCAAGAACACGCAGCTCATAACTTTCTTGTGTCAGGGGCCCAGTGGTCTGGATCTGTCCTAAACTGTCAGTACTAAATGGTCCCTGTGACACAATCTGATAATGGATCTGTCCATTGGCTCCTATATCCGGGTCTATTGCTTTAGCAGTAAATATAATGGATCCAGTAGGTGGAGAGCCTTGGAGTCTCAAGGTATGTGAGGACAAAGCGAAGAGAGGTGGGTTGTCATTGACATCCGTGATCTTCAAGTTAATCCGGGTACGGGTATAGGCTGGAGGAGACCCACTACGAGCTTGAACTTCAAGAGTAAGTTCGGCATCTTGTTCTCGGTCAAGGGGTCGATGTGTGGACAATATTCCAGAACGAGGGTCCAGAGAGAAAGGCCACGAGGGTCACCAAAGGCTAGGGAGTACAGTATCACACTTGAGACACCTAGGAAAAGTGAAAAAGAGTCACTTAGTGTGTTTAATGTGAAAGAGTCTGTATGCAAACTTTTATGGAAATAATGCACTCAAAAGAAGGGGGCAATATCTTGCCACCTTATAAGCATTTTTCTGTGGTGGTTGAATATCACAACATATGTGTATATAACAGTGAGGCCTATGTATGTGGGTGACACTTGGATTGGGTCTTTGTAGCTATCCGGTATGAAGACAACTGTTGTAGCTTGGCCAACCTGGTGAGGTCTGCGTTATTTTGAGAATAAAAAGTATTATTCCATACTCAGTACTCCGGGTATATGGAATATTTTCAAAAAGCTTTCTTTAAGCGTCATTCTAACTTCTTTATTGACTCCAATAACATCAGTGTTCAAATCTTTTGCATTGACCTCATGCAATGTATACTTGGCATAATTTTTTATACATTTACCAAAGTTTAGTTTCCAGGAATAGATAAATGAATTGGAAAAATGCTTTAGCCTACCAAGGGAGGAAAGACATTGCAGATTCAATGTTAATGAAATCCAATACTAATAAACCTCTAGGTAGATTGTGGATAAAGCAGATGTACTGTATAAGGTCTTGTAGAAATCCTAAAACTGTGTAGATACAGCACAGTGTAGCAAAATAGAATATACCTGCTGGGTTGGTGGCCTTCACACTACCCACACTGGTTCCAGGAGGTGTATCCTCAGATACAGTGATGTCATACTGGGGCTGCAGAAATGTAGGCACGTGGGCAGCACTCGGAAGAATGCTGACATTTACCCGGGCATTCATTTCGGCTCTGACTCCACCTCCATCCTGGGCTCCCACTTCCACATGTAGGACAGATCCAGCCCGTGCAGACAGAGCACGAACCACAATAAGAGTACCTGAAAGAGAATCATAGTAAGAACCTATGCAGAGAGCATCACCCTAACTAGTTATAATGTAGTACCACTACCACGGACCATAGACATAGTGGTGGTTTTACTAAAGGCTTTTCACTTTACAAGGGAAATTGAACTCATTTTTTCCAGAGCTTAGTAATGTGGTGAAGCTGCACTTTGTAAAGAATACCAAATCAGGTGCAAAAAGAAACAACAGCATTTTTGCTTGCACATGATTGGATAATGGAAATTACCTGAGCTTTACCACATTCACTAAGCTTTGAGAAAATTAGTGCAATTGCACTTACAAAGTGCACAGTCTATTTGCCTTTAGTATATCCACCCCAAAGTGTACTAACACCACCATAGACCACAGACAGTGTACTACCACCACCATGTATCACATTCAGTGTACTACAACTCCTTAGATAATTGATAGTGTACTATCTTCACTATGTATCATAGACAGTGTACAACCATCACCATAGATAATAGACAAAGGGTACTACCACCACTATAGATCACAAACAGTGTACTATTACCACTATGGATGATAGACAGTGTTCTACCTCTGCCATACATCATATATAGTGCACTTCCACAATCATGGATAATAGACAGTTTATTACCACCACCATAGATCACAGACCGTGTACTACCACCACCATAGATCCCAGACAATGTTCTACCATCACCATAGATCACAGACAACATACTACCATCACCATAGATCACAGAAAAATGTCTACCTTCACCAAAGATCATAGACAGTGTACTACCACTACTATAGATCACAGACAGTGTTCTACCATCACTATAGATCATTGACAGTGTTCTACCATCACCATAGATCATTGACAGTGTTCTACCATCACCATAGATCATTGACAGTGTACCACCACCACCATAGACAGTGTACCACCACCATAGATCATAGACAGTGTACCACACCACCACCACCACCCACCATAGTTCATAGACAATGTGCCACCACTACCATAGATCATAGACAGTGTACTACTACTACTACTACCATAGATCATAAACAGTGTACCACCACCACCACAGATCATAGACCGTGTGTACCACCACCACCATACTATAGATCATAGACAGTGTATCACCACCACCACCATAGATTATAGACAGTATACCATCACCACCATAGATCATAGACAGTGTACCACCACGATCATAGACAGTATACCATCACCACCATAGATCATAGACAGTGTACTACCACTACCATAGATCATATACAGTGTACTACCACTTCTATAGATCTTATACAGTGTATCATCACCATAGATCATATAC